GATAATCATGATTAACATGCTTAATAGAATTTATTTATATTATAACATTGTTAAATTTTTGTTTTTTAAAGAAATTGGTAATATCTTAACATTTTGCTCATGAAACAGCGTTGCATATTCTAATAAAAAAATTTCTTGTGAAATTTTACAATATACTTAAAACTATTATATTGAATATTGATTTTAAGTTACACGGATTTGCAATTATTTTAATGGTAAATTCTATTTTCACCCGGGTTAAAGTTATCAAAATATTACTAAAACTAAATAATTTTATGACATTATATAGTTTATCGGGTGACTTTAACCTGGGTGAAAATAGAATTTCTTTAATTTTTATTGGTCAACATATTAAAAAAAAAAAATTTCTAATTCCTACTTTGGTGATCCAGCCGGGATATGAAAACCAATTATATAAATTTTTATGGCCTTATTTATTTGTTATTTTTTTTAAATAACTATGTAGATATCATAAGGGCAGATTTGCATAATTACTACTAAAAATAGTAAAATATTTGACAGTGAATAATTTTTTATTCACTGATCCCTTTGGGATGATTTTATTACCAAAATGACCATCTCGGTGAGACGATTCTAAAATTGTCTAAATCTAATCACGGGATTCCGAGTTTTTCTTGCTTTGGGTAAAATAGGATGGGTTTAACCCATCTTATTTTATCTGAAGCAAATAATCTTTTAATTATCTCGGAATCCCATGATTAGATTTCGACAATTTTAGGCTCGCTAGAATTTTCTTACCGAGACGGTGATCAGTGAATAAAAAGTTATTCACTGTCAAATATTTTACATACCATTTTTAGTAGTAATTACACAAATCCGCCCATATGTTAAGCTTAGTTCAAAAACTGTTTAAATAAATCAATTTTAAATAATTTATATCAAAGAAGTAGCTGATATCAGATTGTGATAAATACTCTAAGCATGTGGTTTTGCGGTTTTCTGTGCAAATCTTGTTGTCATTGAAGTCAAAGAAACCAATGAAATTCTCAGTGTATATAATCATATCGGATGGCGAAAGCCATTCTTTAATTTTACATTATGTCTTGCAATAATAGCAATAATAAGCTTTACTTTTTCATTGAAAATAGAAATATTCAAAGTTCTATTATAATAGTTTTTTTATTAAAAAGTGTATCATAATTTTTTTTGCTTTAATAAATTAAATTTCTATAACATACTAGTTTTTAACTTGATAATTTTATCATGCCTTCAATCATTCTAGCATTAAGACTACTTTGTTGAATGGCTTGTACGTCTAAACCCTCTTGTTGAGCATCTTTCATAACCCAATCTTGTAGGATAGTAAGATCTTTTCGATCGTTGGCTATTAGTGGGAATGTAATAAATTCTATGAGGTAAATAACACTTCTTAGATCAAGTTTGTTTGCAGCATAGTACATTTCTTGAGTTGGGTGTAAGTATAAAAGTATTCATGAGATATACAGATACCTGACCATTTATATAATGAAAATAATTGTCAGACAAAATGTCAATTAGATTTTTGGTATTTTATTAATTGGACGAGCATCATTTTTGTAAATTAATTTTTAAACTGTGAATTGTTTAACTTGAATTGATAAAATTTTAAGTGAAGTCTGATATCTTGCATTATATTAATATTAATATGATACGGATTTAATTACTTTATGTATTGTTTCTTAATTACAAAACCAATTAATTAACTGCATGCTCAAAATTGCAATTTTCTAAATGCAAAAAAAATATTTAAATTTATAAATTTGTTAGAGCGTTTTAAGTACAAGTAAAAGCCTATTAGTTTTAATATAATATGAAATAGGAAATTATCTTAATAATCATGTTTACCAAAATTACATTACAATTTAGCATATCTTAAACCCAGTTCATTCTCTGACAGCATCCTAATACCGTCGGAGAATAAAATAGGTTTGAAATTATAAAATATTTATTTGATGTGATTTTACCATAGTGTTTACCAGAGTTACGAAATAATTCTTTCAAAGTTATATTTACCAACATTGTGTTTACCAGAGTTATGAATTAATTCTCTCAAAGTTATATTTACCAACATTGCTGCTATTGATTTTATTGTTCTATTGAATAGAAAATTTATTACCAACTTAATAGAATTTTTAATAAAATCAATAGAACCAATAGAAATTTTATTCTATTATAACTTATATTTTAACCAAAAATTGCATCAAATAGCACCCTGCCCAGCTTATGAAGTTACTAATTTGATTCACATTACTATTGTCAGTTAATGTAATAGATATTTCACGGTTCCTATGCCTGTGATTAAAATTTTTGTGATAACATAATCATAAAAATATCATAATATTCACGGGAAAATATTAGGGCCGTGGGATATAACTAAAAATAAAATAAACATAAGCTTACATAATGATTTCGAAAAAAATGTAAATTGTAATACACATATAAACAGCCAATGTTTTTAACATCTGACCTACATTAAGTGTTACTAATAGAAGATTTAATTGTTATCCTTGAAAAAAGATAATATCCATACTAAATTTAGACTCTTTATCATAAACAATTAGAAAAAGTTTGGAAATTAATCTGAAACTTTACGAATAGTTATCAATCAAAATCTTTGATAAATAACTTTCTTATTTAATTAATAACTATAGTCAACTTTATTAGGTAAGGACTCTTTTACTCATCTTTTTTATTTTGATTAGTATTAGAAATTCTTATAAAATAAGTTGAACTCTTGTACAGTAAGTTATATTCACTTTCAAATATGTTCCATAAGTATTGTGAAGAGAAAAATTTTTATTTATTTCATACTTTCTGTTATCTACTAAAGAATCATATTTATTCATTATTTCAAAAATAAAAATTATATAGCCACAAATCTTGATGTTAAATTTCCTTTAGTTAATCAACAAATCAAAGAACTTCAGCCAAAAAAAATTTCTAATTTAACAAATACCTACTTAAAATATGCACAGTATTAGCATTATAATATTTAAATCTATTATATGAAGATTTATTAATGAACATATAGAAAAATTAGTTCTTTAAATATTTGTTATAGACTACTATTTTAATTAAAAAAAGACTCTTGACTATTTTATTTGCAAAATATATCTATATTCATGGGCCCTTTTAATTGACGACACCCCATATATTAGATTATTTTTCCTGATAAGTGTATCAAATGATATTTAAGAATAAATCCTTACAATCTTTAAATAATCGATTAATAGAATCAAAGTTCATAGCAGCGTATTATTTTATTAAAAAAAAAATTAATTTTGAAAAATAACTAATAATAACATTGAAAAACCTCAATTACTTTCTAAAAAAAGAAAGAGTTAGAAACAAGATAGAGATGGTTTACATGACATCAGACTAACCCAATGAAGCGAAAAAAAAAATTTTTAATTTGATGATGTAAAGAATTATTTTATGATTACACAAAGTAAATAAGTCTTATTGTATCATCTCAAAATAACTCCACACTGTATAGCTTAATATCTTGGCCTACATTAAGCTTAATTTGGCCTAAACTAGATGGTTGAAATTAACTTAGAAAAATAGAAACACTATAGTAAACTAATTTGATGCTTTATGTTTGCCAGAGTTACGAATTAATTCTACCAAAATTATGTTTACCAGAGTTACGAATTAATTCTACCAATCATTATGTTTACAAAAATTGTACCAATATTATGTTTACCAGAATAATGAATTCATTCTACCAAAATTATGTATACTAGAGTAACGAATTAATTTATGTTTACCAGATTAATGAATTAATTCTACCAACCAAAGTAATGAATTAATTCTTCCGAAATTATTTTTACCAGAGTTACGAGTTAATTTTACCAAAATTATTTTTATCAGAGTTACAAAATAATTCAGAGTTACAAATTAATTTTACCAAAATGATGTTTACCAGAATTACGAATTAATTCTACCAAAATTATGTTTACTAAAGTTTCGAATTAATTTACCAAAATTTTACCAGAGTTACGAATTAATTCTACCAACATTATGTTTACCAGAGTTTAGTGTTTCACATGAATCGGTATCTTTTGCAGAACACTACCAGAGTTATAAATTAATTCTACAAATCATTATGTTTACCAGAGTTATGAAATAATTCTACCAAAATTATGTTTACCAGAGTTATGAATTAATTTATAAAGTTACGAATTAATTCTATCAAAATTATGTTTACCAGAGTTATGAATTAATTCTACCAAAATCATGTTTACGAGTTACAAATTAAATTATGTTTCCCAAAGTTACGAACCAAAGTTATATTTACTAGAGTCACGAATTAATTTTACCAAAATTATTTTACCAGAGTTACGAATTAATTAACCAGGGTAGAATCGCCGAAAATTATATGATATTGTCAATTAACCATGATAATAATATTTAATAAAATATTAATTGATTCAGTAAGTGATTTTTTTTCTTCAATTCTTCAAAATGAAAAGTGATCGTTGCAATCTCGGCAAACCAAGTGATTCTTTTAAAAGCATAAAATCCAATAAACACAATATATTAATTGTCAATGAATTTTTTTTGAAATTTTAAATACTAATAACTTAACAAAAACTTGATCAAATTTAATAAATTTTTTTTTAAATTAATTTTATAAGTTTGTAAAATTTATTTTCAGTTGCTGCTTTTCTGTAAATGATATAATTTATTTATTTTTATTATTTAAAATTATGATATATTTAATCCTAAAAGTTTAGTCTTAATTAGCAATAATTAGATTAAATATTAATTATAAACTTTTTAATATGTTATATTAATATGTAATGTATCAGAAGTGATGAATTTACCTATAGTTTAATAATATATATATTGCTAGTGATGGTTTTTTATAATTGAAAATATAATGCATTTATAAATAGAGAATAAAAAGTTCATCATTGAGTTTGCTATAAAAGGACTCTCTTAATCCAAAGTTAACTTTTCTGTATACCTGTTCTGTTTTAAAAAAATTGTAATATTTTATCTAATAAATCTAAATAATAACTGACAAATCGACGTTAAATTCGATTTTCATACAAACTTATAGCTTCACTAAAATGCCTAAACAAAGTAAAACTAATGGAATCTGTACATACAGACGTTCAAAAGGATTTACTATTTCAATTGTAGGAAATATAAAGGCGACTATTAAATTAGAAAATCATAACAAAATACTGATTTTGCTACAATTTCCCTGATACGTTCCAATTACAAAACAATGGTTGAACTCAATCAAGTAAAATACGACGAAGCAAAAAAGATTTTGATAGCTGAAAGTAGAAGTGGAAGAACAGAAATAAATGAAAATGTTCAGTCTGAGATGAATAAAAACGTTCAATCAGAAATATTCAATCTGAAATGAATGAAAATGAAACTTCGGAAGTTACAGAATACGAAATAAAAACCTGACTTTATGTTTTCAGTCCTTTATGTTTTCAGTCATGAGATTTATTTATATGTTATATGCTCTGACACAAAAAATTATGTAGAAATTCTATCATAAAAAATGCGGAGATTTTCATTTTTTTAAAATTTAAAAATTGTATTCTTTATAGTTTTAATTTAAAAGATTAATTTTTTTTGATATAAAAGTTTTGATAAGAATGTATAAATTTTTTTTCACGAATAAAAGGTTTTAATATTGATAAAAGGTGATTTGATTCGAATAAATAAATTAACTAAATAAATGGCTTAAAAACTAGTGTATAATATTGAAAAGCTCGAGAGAGAATTGTTATGGAAATATCAAACGGCAATTCTGACTAATAAAAAAATCTCATGACTTATCAAAAGCCATTAACACCTATCATCGTGAACCAAAGAATTTTTTGTAATATACTGAAAAATCGATTAGAGCTTCGTTATTCGACCAGGCTTTTGCTATAAAAATGTCACACTTTGCAAGTCATTTATAGCAAAATCCCATGCGAACAATATTTCTAAAGAAAAGGACGTTACTACTTATAATTACATTATTAAATACTGTAAGTAAAAACTTTAAAAAGTTACTTATTGATTGTGTTTTTGGTTATAGATCTTCTATACTGGAATAAATGATAGCTCGATTGACTTTCTATCAGATCATGAATTATTCAATTGCTTTTTGACAAAAGGGCAGATGGTAGCAGATAAATGCATGTCCCTCAAGCTAAACAAAATTGTATAGCATTAAGCCAATTGCTTAGCCAACTTGGCTTTACAAAAAAAATAATAAGTAGTCCAGTATTTAAATTTAGATGAAATAAAGATGTATATAGTAATTTTGAAATACGCAAAACCTATTTTAACCTTAATATTTAAAAACTAGTCAATAATTTGGGAACTAAATAAAAAGTGTGAAGCATCTCAATAATTTAAGCACGAATACTATTAATATAATGGACACCTCCATTAGTAATAATGTGCTTTCCAAATTTATAAAAATTATCTAAATCATCTAATTCTTTTCGAATTTTATAATTTTTTACATGTAAGTTTTTGTTTAGAAGGGTCCATTCTTCTTTTAATTAACAATGATCTACACATAGAGATTCTAAATCTTTTTCTAAATCTTCTAAATGAGGAACTTTTACTAAATCTTCTGATTCTTTTACAGAAACTTCAACCAAAACTTTAAGTTCTTCAAGTTGCAATTTGATATTTTCAAGTGTATCATATAACATATTTGTTTCATTCATTCTAAAAGTGATGCGATTAAATAGATCAGCATCATTCGTTTTTGTAGCTCTTAAGAATTGAAATTTATAAGTAATATATGAATTGAGGATTTTATTTGATTTAACAAAATCATTATCGGTAGTTAGTTCTTTTGTTGGAGTTTCTTTAATTTCTTTTATGGTTTTGTATTTTTTGCTATACTTCTTTCGATTCTTGAGTATGTAACGTATGTAATGCATGTAACAATAGAATAAAATTTCCATTTCCGAAGCAGAGTAATCACCATAATGCAAAATTATAATATCATTCTCATTTGGAGTTGGCAAGTTATCATTAATTGATCGACAATAAAATAACGAAGAGTTTTTATAGTTTCTTATTTTATTATATTTGGAATCGAAAGGATTTTGGTTCAATTTGATATTTATTATTTTTGTAGAAATGGGTTTCATATTGATAGTATATAAAGTTTTAAATTG